ATGCATATAAATAAAAAAATCTAATCAGTATTTATCTAGGAATACTGTTCTGCAATCACTAAAGCTGAATTGGAAGGCGGGTGGTGTTATCTTTTTGTAGGCCTTGATAGCTTTTGTCAGAATTTGTTTGATCACTTCTTTTAATCTTTCTGTATTTCTGACATGCAGCATTTTGGGAGGTCTATTCCAGTTTTACTTTCTATATTGTGGTTGTCCAGTTTGTTTTATGAGTGTTGAATGTTTGCCTCTGAGTGTCTTTCAGTTGATCTATTTGAGAAATGGAGAACAGTTATCTCCTATTAACTCCAGGTTCCTCAGGATTTTAAAGAGCTGTCACACTCCTTTCTCTGTGATGTCTTTTGTTCTAAATTAGCTGTTATTCCTCACACTAAATAATCTCTTTATTCTGTACATGTCCCTTTTCTTGTGAACATGAGAGAAACGCGAGTTGTACATAATTAGCCTTATGGGTACATCAGAGCTCTATGCATCACGGCCTGTTCAGTTGCTCTCGTGTTAATGTCTCTTCAATGTTCTGACTGCTCTTCTGAGTGATAATAACTAATTTAGAGCCTATCATTGCATAGTCAGGGTTGGTTTTACCCATATATTAATCTGCAGTTACTGCTACTGACTTTTTTTTTCCTCACTTCATTTCCCAGTCACTTAATGTAACATATTTCTGCAAATGTCCTGTAAGATTTAGTCTTAAGTGCTTGAATAGCTTTGATCAAACTGTTTTGTCTTCCTCAGTTTGGACTGTTTTTGAAAAGCATAAATCCTGGTAGAGGTTGCTGTAAAATGACACTCTGCTGTGAAAATGATTTTTTCCTAGTCCTTGTTTTGTTTTAACTAAGACAGCCTCTTCTTATCCCAAAACAACTCACCTCCTTCCTTTGAATCTTTAAAGGAATCTAATCAGAAACTTCTGCACATGCAGACGGTCTTATTCATGTGACTTCTTCATTTACATGCCCGAGAATTCTGTCTCAGTATCAGACAAGCCTGTGGGCATGATTTAGCAGGATAGAGTTAAAAAAAAAAAACCACAAACCCAAAATGCAAAAAACCCACAAACAACTGAAAACCAACCAAAAACTACACACCTGCTTGATGCATTATTTTAGAGGCTTATTGATTACAATGATAGGTGTGGTAAACCTTGGCATATTACTAGCATGACCGAATATGACGTTACCTTATAATGCATAGGTAGCACTAAAAATTATATGACACCATTCTTTTGATAGGAGACTAGGTAGAACTTGGTAACAGATGAAATTCAGTATTTCAGAGATTGAGTGGGGAAGGAGAAACTTTTGGATGAAAAAACTTCAATCCTAAAATGAACCTGTTACTTTTGTTCTCAAGAATATAAACTAATGAAAAGATAGCACTGAATAAATACTACCCTTAATATTTTATATTCACTGTATCCCTTGCAGTTGTGATAGTCTCAGTAGGTACCCGTAACAAGGGGAATGGTATTAAGTTGCAACTATTTTTTTCTTTTTCTTTCCTCTCCAGTTGCCAAATAGACTGGAAAAAAGGAAAGAATGTTACTTTGAAAACTATTAAGAAGAAGCAGAAACATAAGGGTCGTGGAACAGTTAGAACAGTGACAAAAACTGTTTCCAATGACTCTTTCTTCAACTTCTTTAGTCCTCCTGAAGGTAAACTGAACATTAGTTTATCTGCATTAACTTTAAATGTAGTATGTACTTCACTCACTTGTTTCTTCCTTTTTTTTTTCCTACAGTTCCTGAAAGTGGAGACCTGGTAAGCTGGCTTATTTAAAATAAGGGGCTGGAGGGGAAACACCAGTAGAAGAATTCATGCCTTTATATACAAAGTGTTTGTTGAAATTGTTTGGGAATTTGTTAAACAGCTTCAGATCTAACTGTTTCTGTGTTTAACTGAGAATACTTGTGATGAATAGTATGTATTTGAGTTTTCTTTATTAGAAGGATTATTTGTTGAGTTGGATTTGTTGAGTTCAGTTTAGTAAATTTTAACAGCTTATCCTTCCTGAAAGCTACCTTGTGAATTGTTAACAGTTGTACAAATGTAGTGATCTTCGTTATTAGCCTTTTGGTCTAATGGGTGGTGTAAGTCTCTCCCTTCGGGCATTGTTTGGATGATCTTCTTGAATGGCTGCATGTATCCGGTTTGTATTTTATGCTGTTAAAAAATTCCCAAGCTATTAACTCCTGGAGAAAGTAATAAAACAAGAATAGAAACTGCAAGAGCCCACTCTTCTGTGTGCTTACTAGTAGAAAACTCTTGTGGCAATAAGCCATGTTTTTGTAAGGAGGAAAACTACCAAAAACACTTAACAGTGCTGAATACATCATGCAGCTTGAATGAAAAATCTGATGAAAGCCTCCAGAAGCATGCTGTTAGAACTCCAATTGGCATCGACACCAAAAGCTGTGTGTTCATAATATTAAAAAAAAAAAAAAAATCAAACTTTTTGAATTGAAGATAACTTCTCAGATGGGAGACAGCAGAACACTTGATGTGTAAACAAAAGGAGTGAAAACCTGGGATTGGATCGGAGAGCATTTTTAGGTGTTCAGGTGCTTCACAATGGCTTGCTTAATGGGAATCATGGAGGTGATGCACTGTAAGAATCAGAAGTAACTTGTAAAATCTTTAATTAGGCTCACCTGGCTAGTGTTTAGTTCTTAAGGGTATTGTGCATACAAACTGAAAGTCTATGGGAGGTATCAAACAATTTTTCTACTTAGAACAAAAGCAGGTTGGGAAGAATAGAACTTAAACTCCAGAATTTTGTATAATTAAGCTTACTGAAGAAGCAACCCCCCATTGTGTAATGCAGGTAGGCTGTTTAAAGCGTAAAACTTGACTCCACAATTTCAATTCTATAAAGCAAGTCCTGAAGCAAAAAAAGTCAGCACATGAAATTGGTATAAATCTGACCACATCAAAAACTGTGCAACTTGTGTCTTTGTGTAAAAAGTAGTTATCAGCTTATGGTTTAGGAAATAATGTTGTTTTATGCAGGATGATGATGCTGAGGCAATCCTTGCTGCAGACTTTGAAATAGGTCATTTCTTGCGTGAACGTATAGTCCCCCGATCAGTATTGTACTTCACAGGAGAAGCTATTGAAGATGATGATGATGATGTAAGTACGATATTCTTTCAAAATGCTAAAAACTTTGAATTAATGTTGCTTAAAGACTTCGAGCAATTTCTGACTTTTATAGTGTTGGTATCCTTAGAATGGGATGTATCAACATTAGTTTCAGCTGAGCTTCCTAGTGTTCAGTAAAGAGCAGCACGAAGGTAATTCATCTTTGAAGTAGTGACTTGAGAGTTTTGTGGCAAAAATAGTGGTAGAAGCTGAACGTTTAGAGGATGTCTGAGTTGAATTTTGTGTATAAGGTATTCCTAGGGTGGTGTACCCAGTACTTCAGTAGAACTATAATGAGCTGCCAGAGAACAAATTAGTCTATTTATCTAGCTGCTCAGCCTGTTCTTTGTGCTTACAGTGATACTGGGCTACCAAGTTCCTTGAGATTCAAGGGCACTCTTCTTAGAAAATGATAGATAAGCACATTCAAAGCATGCCAAGATATTCAAAGCAAGCTCTGCAAAAGCTTGAATTAAGTGCTTTAAAGGAGCTAAGCTTGAAAAGCAAACCACAAAACCCCAGAACTTTATATGGGTAAAATATTTTCTCTCCCCTGTCTCCACACAAACAAGGACAGTTTGACAGTTTGATTTGGCTAAGATAAGTCCAGCCCTAAAATTAATTTTTAGAATGTAAAATGGTAGCCCTTAGCCCAAAGCCTTGGCTGGGGGAGGTAGAAGAGAAGTGACTGACTGTACAGATTGCCTTACGCTTTGAGACACCCTGCTGGCCAGAAGTTGTTATCACAGTCTAAGAAGCTCTTCCAGTGTTGCGCATAAAGAACTTAAGGTAGACAGTTTTCTCTGCCAGAGCAGAGCTTAAGAGATTGAACATTGTTCATGCTGGTGCGTAAAGCATTTTTAAATCCATCAGATACAGGAAGTTCTCTTAGAGCACAATACAGTGTGGCCTCTGGCATCTACTTGAGTTATCTGGCTATACTTGAGCCATAAATGGCTGCATTTATGACACTATCAAAACCATTTATTTTCTCTCCTAGTATGATGAAGAAGGTGAAGAGGCAGATGATGAGGTAAGTTGACAGATGGCCTTGATTTAAATGGTTTAGCTTTTGTAGTTTATCTGGAATAAAAGTTCCTTTAGTTTTTGAATGCTCTGGACACTAAGTTTAAGTGTTACTTATGAATGGAAGATACAATACTTTGTTTTGTGGATCTAGGGTGAATATTAAAAGAAACCAACAAAACAACAAAAAAACGAAACCAAACAAAGACAACCCTAAGGTATCTTACAAATCAAGTTGCAACTGATGTCTAAAGATGTGCTTTGTGGAGTGTAAACTAATACAATATGCATAACTTAAAGTGGTAATTAATGTATTTAAGAGTAGAATGTAATCTTAATTTTCTTAAATGGCTCAAGAAGCTGAATGTGGATAAGCTAGAGAAATACAAACAAGTGTTTTCTTTCAGGAGGGGGAAGAAGAAGCAGATGAAGAAAATGATCCTGATTATGACCCAAAAGTAAGGAATTAAAGAGAATGTTTGAAGTTTGTGTATGCATACACACACTTAAAATTTTATGTAGGTTAAGTCTTGATTTTTAGTTTGTTTTTAATCAATAGTTCCTATTATATTGGAGAATGTTTTGGCTGAGGCTGTTTCAGTCCCAGTTCTGACAGAGTAATATTGGTAAAGCAACTTTTTAAAAGTTCTTTCTACAAGAATCATTTTGTGAAAGTAACTTTTGGCTTTGAGCACTGAAATCAGTCAGGCTTGGTTTTCTATAAACTTGTCTTGCAGCAAGTTGCTGCTAATGATGAAAATGTTCTATAATGGTTTTAAGGACATGCAGAGAACTGAGTAATCCAGGTTCAGTTTTTGGGAACTTGTCACAAGCTGACTCTGGCACAGATTTTGCCAGCAGAGTACAAAACTGAGGCTTTTTCAGGGTAGATAATAGAAAGTCTTTTATTGCTTGAGGTAGCAGAAGTCAAGGTTCAGGAACGCATCCACAGCCAAGTACTAAAATGTGAACAGCCAAGAGCAACTGGCCGCTTTCTTATTTCATGGGAAGGGCAAATGAGTGGTCAGGCTCAGATTGCTGGAACAGTCAATTCATAGCTTTTTCCTGGCTGAGGGAAAGGCATGTTTAGCCACTGGAAAGCACCTGATGGTGGTAGGTGAAAGTTGCAGTCATGAAAATGAAGTCTGTGTGAACTAAAAATGTCTGCTGCGAAATATGCTTGCAATTTCAAATGAGGAGGCAGCATATTTTTCAGTAGGAATGGTTTGAGCTACGATCTAAGTACTATTGAAAGAATTGCATAATCTGAGCATTGTACCTGGAAAGATGTAGGGTATAGAATTATTAATCAAAATGTACAACCTGTTGGTCATGTTTCATCTGCTATAGTGTATTCAAATTGCTTCCTATTCAAGAAAGTTTTGGAATCAAAATGAAACAGCTGCAAGATGGGCTTCTTATTTCCACCATTTCAGATTGCTTTTCTAGGCTAAACAGAACTGAGAAGGGGCAAGACTGTATGTTCAGTTTCAGAGAGAACTGCCAAAGGGCTAGAGACACTAGTGGTACTACAGTGTATTGACACAAGAATAAATAGTTGTAAGCTGATCACAGGCTGAAAGCCAGCTTGACTTTAGTAAAGCACTGTGGTCCTAGAATAGCTATCCAGACCAAGGTAGTGGAGTAAAACTTGCAACTGAACTCTGCCCCCAAAAAGCCTTTTCCTTAAATTCCTATTTTACTGTCAGATATTGTTGGTTGTCTGTTTCAATATAACAAGAAATTTCCACGATAGAATTTTCTAACAGCTGGAATTTATTGCAAAAGATGTTTCCAGAGTGTTAAGAACATACCATGATTTGGTGTTTCATTGCGTTGCTCTACAGCGGCTTCTGGAGTAAGGCTGTGCCCTTGTTACTGACCACAGGAAGTTTCTTTTGCCTCAAACTGCGTAGAAGGCCTGGATGCTGCTTCTGAGCCGAGTTGTTTGTTACTATGCATAAGTCTCCTCCTCCTTTTCCCAGTTTCAGTGTCTTTCGGTGTATCCTACCACACTTAGTTCTGATCAGATTTTTTTTCTGGATTATATACGTATGCACTAACAAAGCCAAAATAAATGCATTGCCACATCCAAAAGCAGCAGTATTAGTAATACTGGGCAATTAGGTTAAGGGAAAAGATGAAAGAAGAACTTGAATACTGGAACTTGAGAAAGTATGCTTAGCAATACTAATAGCTCTTTTAAAACACTGATATCTGTAAACTGATGTTTCCTTTTTTCTCAACAGAAGGATCAAAACCCAGCAGAATGCAAGCAGCAGTGAAGCAGTGTGTATGTGGCCTTGAGGATTACCTGCACTGTAATAGCCTAAACACAACTATTAGTTACTTACAGCCTTATGTTTTGTATCTTGGTAGAATTAAGTAACCAATTTGTTAAAAAAAGAAATCAAACACATAAGAACCAGTTTAAAATGTAGGTTCAATCTACCTAGCATTTTAACAGTATAATTTTCTGCCAATATGTAGAATGCAGTAAATCCCCTAAAGCATGAATGTTAATTCATTGCTACATAGTTTGGTTCTTGTGAAGTCTTTGTCATGTAGCTATTAGACTGCAGCTGTAAAGATTATCAGAACTGTTAACTGAGACCAATATTTGTTTAGAGAAAACTCTCCTGAAGAACCAACCAAAGTATTTTTCAGCCCAGTAGTCTGAACGGGTTTAAGTCTGCTTGCACTAGCTGTGCCTTCATTACTTTGTTATAGAAATGGCAGTGACTTGTACTAACTAGGAGATGATGCATTTTGAATTTGACTACTTGAGAAGACTAGTATAACTTGTTTAATTTCCAGCAAGACCACATTAAACATTCATAACTGTCAGCTTGTTTATGCTATGGGTTTTGTATTTTATGTGACATAGTGATCTACGAAAGAAACCTAGTCATCATATTAAGGTTATTGTTTACCACTGGGGTGTGAATAAAACCTAGTATTTTCAGAAGCTAGTCTTGTTTTATTATGATGTGTGTATCTGCATTTGTAAACTGGTAAGGCATATCTTTCATGCTGCAGTTCACTTTTTACTAGAAACGGAAGTTGAGAGTTACTGAAAAGTAAATTATATAGCATTTTAAAACCAAACACAATAGTTTGGAAAGTTTGATCCATACTTGCCATTTGCAGTGTGATACTTGTGAATCTGAGCTAGATATTTCAGTGATTGGTTGACACTGCCATTTTGGAGAAGACAGGTTTTTAGAAGTGGGGCTAGATCTGATAAAGGACTTCGGTATTGCTGTGCCTGACTCTAAGGCATTGGTTATTAGTATGAAATCTGGAGCCCAGAAGGGTGCCTTGGATTTCGAGTCTGTGCAGTCACAGCTGGGTTGTCCTGAACAAAATCTGCCCTGCAGCCTAAGGGAGTGCTAGAACACTTAGCTGTGTTCTAGTTTGTACTCACTGTATCAAGCATCTACAGAGGAGGAAACAAACCCCAAGGAATTCATCTCTCCTCACTAACGTTCTGTTCACTACACTTCTGTTTGCACGTTCTGGTCCATATTGGACCAAACTTTGGACCAATATGGACAAACCACACTTTGTCCATATTGGATGTTCATTGTCAGTTGAAACATATGGGCTAGAAGATCTCATACTAACCTTGCCTCTAGCCTAGCAGTGGAGGTGCTCTTGAGATGTGGATTTGAATGCACTCAGCTTGAAGAGACTATGCGCTGATGTCTTCCATTTGAGTTTTCCCAGTAGCAATATGCTTCTGTACCCTGTGCAGTCTTGTCCTTCACAGAACTATAGAAGTTCTGATCTTTTAAGCAAGTACCTAGATAAATTTTTGAGGGACAGGAAGGTCCTTGTAGGGTTGGAAAGAAATGCCCAGCCTAGACATGGATCTATTTCTGCAGTAGCTACTCTTTTTTCTTTTTTTTTCCTTGCCACTGATATACTGACATAGCCATAAAGGGTTAAAGGTTTGAAAAGAGCCAGGCAAGCAGGAGGCAACAGCCACATGAGTATGGGGCTGGTGGAAGAGTTTCTCTAGCATGTCTCTTGCTTGGAGGGTAAATAATACAGAACGAGGCTTATCCCAAGTGCCCTTCTGAATCCTCAGCTCTCTTAGAGGAAGAAGGTCTAGTGTGCTCTGACTAAACTGATTTTTTTTTTAATTCCTTTGAATTGAAGGCTGAAATACCGCACTACTTCATTTCAGAATCCCTGTCAGGTTTCATCTATCTTCTCTCCAGATATTTATGGATTTGGGAGAAGGAGCTCTTGTTATCTATAGCTGTATGTAAAACAGTGCTGTCGAAGCTGTGCTCTTGGGTGTTTTTTAGGTAACCCGTAGATCATAATGTAGAAAAATACAGTAATGAAAGTTAACACACAGCTTACCGGAGAGTGTGATGTGGTTGTGTTCTTGTGAATGACATACATCCTGACAGAATATGCTTATCCTTTGAGGCACTGACCCTGCCAGGTGTTTGGGTATCACTTGGTCTCTTCTCTGAAGATCTCCCAGGAGTAAGTTTAAGTTTAAACTTCAGGGCATGTGGAGACCAAACTGATGGTATGTTATGAGCTTGAGCAGTCATTAATATGGGGCTTTGGGACAGAAGAAGTATCTGAAGTCCTTACTTAGATCTAGCCCATTTTTACTAACAGCATCTGGCAACTGTATCTTAAAAAGAGAAAGCACTGTTAAAAGTTGTCCGATGAATTTCAGAAATCACTGTTCTTAAGAAATTTGGCTTGTGTTTCCATTGCTTTCTCATTTAATATCTTTATATTATACAATGGGATACAATATTTGAAAAGGGGAGGTGGTAGATATCAAAGCTCACCTGCAGCCTGCAAGATCCAGAGCCATGAATCCATCTCTGTTGACAGATTTTGGTAAGCTTCTCTCTAGATTGACTTGCTAGTTCTAGATCAGCAGTTCTTGTGCTCTCCAGACTGCAGCAAAAGGAAGGATATAGTCATACAAATTGAGGTGCCAGTTCTTATGGCATCAGTTAAATAAAAACTGTTTTGGTGCTTAACGTAGTTTTGTGATCAACGACACTCTTGTTTAGCAGTTCTGAAAGGCAGTATGTAGCAGGAACATTAAACTTTCAACATTGTTTGGAGTATTGTGACTCATTCTTTTCACTTCTCATGGATTTATACCAGCTGTAGAGAAACTGTTCATTTAGTATTTGAGGAGGATAAGTTACCTTGTTGTTAACAAGTTCAGGCTAGGAAAACATGTCTTGGTCAGTTATTGCAGTACTGCACCAAAATTTAACATCTGTGTAAATGATGTCTTCTGTCCAGTTTTGGTTGCTGTATTGAAGGGAGAATTATCTTAGGAGAAAAATGGAGGGTTGGTGAGGAAAGAGGTAAGAGAATTAACTGAGACTTTGGATGAGAGGGAAGGGCGCTCAGAGCTTATGCTTGATGGAGGGGGATGCTTCTTCGTAATTCTACACTTTCAGCAAATGTAGATTAGATTATGTTGGCACTCAAGTGTGTTCCTGTGTGGTATAACTTTGTTAATGGTTAGAAAAAAAAAATATTAAAACAGTATCCTGAAATATTTAAGCTTGGCATTCTTAAGTTTTACTTTCTGGAGAAGGTGATGTCAGGTGCAGTTAGAAATGTTACCTTGGATTATTTCAACACTAGGCATATTAGCTTCATAAACTCAGATTCTTAGTTGGATTCTTGGAACTGATGTTTCCCAAACTATGTAGCAGATACTGTAATTTTGACATGTTTTTACTTGTTAAATGAAAAAAACCAGCAGAATATAGAAAACTGCAGGAATCAAATGTGTTCGTCTGTGCCTTCAAGCTCTACTTAAAATTTCCCTGTGTTTTAAGGCCCATTGTTGTAGACCTGATTCAGAAATCGATAGGGAACTTATACACAAATGGATGATTAGTTTGTCTGCCAGAGATTTCCTGTTTCCAAAGGTGCAGCAGTTGTTTCTCAGATGCCTTGTGTTGAGGAGGAGGATTGTGTTGTGGCATTCTCAGTGGCTGAAGGAAACAAAATCCCAAACCCCTCAGTACAAAGGGGACGGTCTGATAATGAAGGTGTTTCTGTATGTAACAGCCTTGGTGGCCTGCTGGGTTGGGCTAGAGCTGCACAGATGTTGGAGTAGGTAGACTCAGCTCTACAGCGCTTCCTCCTTCATTCTGTGCAGATGTAGCCTCCTCCAATCCAAAACTTGTTGCTACCACACCTTCAGTTTCATTTCTTAATAACTGCTCAGTTCTGTTTGAGATGCACTGGTTCCCTGCAAGTTTTCAAGAGGGTGTTGAAGTTATGACTTATAATTGCTAATGCTTACCTAAAGTGAACATAAATCCATCTACTGGAAATAGTAAGTCTTACTTCTGTACATTATCAAGAGGAGTAGGAAGTTTGTCTACATGGCATGTTGGACAAGATTTGTCTCGCCACTCTTTAAATCCTCGTTAGACCTCTTCTCACATAGTCTTCCACATGTGGCCTGTGTCTCAGCTTTTGTGGGAAAATTAGAGCAAGTAAAGCAGACGAGATGGAGCACACCAAGCAAAAGATAAGCTATTCCATATTTGGGTCTGCTTGGTGTGTGCTAGAAGTGGGTGTGCAAGGAGTGTGCCCAAACTTGTTTACCCTGCAGTTGATGAGAAGCATCTGAACTCACAGCACGTTTTACTCAGCACTAGGTGATCAGATCTAAGAAACATCAGGTCATTTAAACCCTCTTACAGGCTGGCTTTGCTCTGCAATGTGCACTTAAGTGCTTTTTAATATTTTAGAAGACAGCTATCTCTGAAGTGCGAGGGACTTTGGAAGAGCTGGGCTGGAGCAATAGTCTGTGCATTACACGCAGTTTCTTCATTTGGTACTGCCATGGGTTATAGGGAATGCTAAGTCCTGGGGAAATGTGGTTAATAGTTAATGGTGAATCTTCCATCTATTTATGTCTGGTTTACTGTGAGGTGTATACAGGTATCTGTGAGATGGAATTTGTAAAAGGAAAAGTCTGCCCCCCAGATCACAGGTTCAGTGCTTCAGTGTTCTCTCAGCAGCTAGTTCCAGTGAAATTACCGGGAGATGGTAAAGGTCAAGAAAATACTTTAAGAAGTAAGCACTTATTGTCTAATTAATCACATATTGCAACACATCTATTTGTCACGTGTTTCTCAACCCTTGACTATTTTTTTTCCTCATTTTCCTACTGTGTGAGCAATGACCAGCTCGTACGTCCTTTGGGTTTCCCTCTTAACACTTTTTCTGTTTTAGCCACTTCTCAGTAATGGAAGAAATGATGATGTTTAAGGGTTGTCACTCAGGATAGGTTTAGCATCCCTTTGAAACTAATAGTTGATAGTCGGTGTCATGCTGCTTTCTGCAGATTCATTACCCAGGAGAACACTAGTAAAATTACGGCCTTCTTAGTCTTTCAAGGTGGCTTCCCAAAACAATGTTTAACTTGCCTCAGGGTTCAAAAAGAACACTTTACTTACTCTTACCATAATTGCCCTTTAATTAAGGTTACACATACAAAATTTCAACTACTTGAGTCAAAGTTAGGGAGCTGATGATATAGGAGACCAGTGTATTTAACAACCAAACATTTCTGTTACCAGTATCAACTTGAAATGTGGAAAAGGAAAAATTCAATAAGGAATAAATGGATCTTGGATGTAGAGACTTTCAAGGATCAGATTGTTTTTTCAGGTTGTAGTATTTCAGGTTTGACAGTAGGAGGCATCTGCACATCAAATATTTCAGGAGGAACAGCTGCAGAACCTGCATAGTATTTAGTGAAACTTCAATAAAGGTAGTGGACATAGAACATTTAATATAATTGCAGTGGTTTAAATATATATTTAAATAAAAGTAAAGTAAAATCTCAGTGAGATAATGTAGTGTGCTTAACTGTGTTGAATTTTTTTTTTCAAAATAAAAAATGTTTCTGGAAGCTCAGTTTTGACTTCCATCTAGGAAAATTAAG